ATAGAGAGAGAGAGAGAGAGAGAGAGAGAGAGAGAGAGAGTCTATACCCGACTTGTCTTGATCTCACTATATAGCTGAGAATGACATTGAACTTCTGATCTTCATGCTTCCTTCTCCTCCTCCCAAGTGCTAGGATTACAGGCATGCACAACCATGCCCGATATATGCAGTGGTGTGGATGGAACCCAGGGTTCTGTGCATGCTGGGGAAACACTCTACCAACTGAGCTAGATCCACAGCCTTGGGATTTCCTTTTCAAGTAATGAAAATGATGCAAAATTGATTGCCATGATAGTAACACAGATTTGTGAACATGCTCAAGCATACAGAATGGTATACTTTAAAAGGGCAAAATTCATGGGATGTGAATATCTCTATAAAGCTGTTAAGAACAGCACAATCTGGACCAGTGAGATGGCTCAGCAGGTAAAAAAAGGCACTTGTCAACAATCTTAACGACCTGAGTTTGATGCCTGGGACCCAAAGAAGGATGGACTGATACCCGCAAGTTGTTCTCTGGTCTCCAAACACATGCTATGGCATGTATTCGTCCACACACATGCACACAAAAGAAATAAAATGTAATACTGCTTTTAAAAAAAAGCATCATCAGTATCAGTTAGGCATGGCAGCTCCTACTATAATCACAGAACTTGAGGCTAAGGTTAGAGAACTGTTTTAAGTTTGAGTACAGCCTGAGCTACAAAGTGAGTTCTAGGTCAGCCTAGGATACAGTGAAACCATGTTTCCAAAAAAAAAACAAGGGCCTGTGAGGTGGTTCGTTGGATAAAAGCACCTGTCATGCAAACTTAATCACCTGAGTGAGTTCAATCCCCAGAACCCACAGTGCAACAGAACCAACTCCCACCAGTTGTCTTCTGACTTCCACATGTGCACACAAAGACAGACAATAATAAAAAAATATAAATTTAAAAATCAGCCAAGAAGGGCTGGAGAGATAGCTCAGTGGTTAAGAACATTGACTGTTCTTGCAGAAGACCCAGGTTCGAATCCCAGCACCCACATGGCAGCTAACAACCATCCATAACTCCAGTTCTAGGGGATCTGACAGTCTCTTCTGTCCTCCTGAGGCATTCCCCAATAAACTCATTGGTTGATAAAAGCACACTTGGGCAGAATCGTTACTTTGGTCTACAGTGGTTCCCTGTTTGGCATGAGCAGACATTGGTTTACATTTCCACAGGAAAAGTTCACGAAACAGTAATTTACTTTTATGCTGTCATACCACCTTAGACCAAAATAATTTTTGTGTTTGAGGGCCTGTTTCGCACATTCTAGGAGGTTACAGCAGCAACAACCTTGGCTTCTATCCTCTAGATGCCAGTAGCAAAACCTCACCTACAGTCATGACAACCAAAGATATACCCTGGTACAAGCTAATACCCCAGAAGGCCCACTGGCTGCAGCCCACTGTGGCTGAGGGATGGCTCAACGGATGACTGTGGACTTCTCTGAACAGGTAAGGCCATCATCAGAACTCACCATTGCGGGTCAACTTGGGGGTGGTTCGGAAATTCACTAGGTTCTCCATTTCCAGATGAATGTCTTTTGTTTCTCCGCTATCATACAAATGGCGCACCTGGCAGAAAGTTGAAAGAGTAAAAGGAAAATCAAACCCTAAATAACATTTCCACCTAAATGAAGAATAACTAAAATAAAGATTATAAGAGCAGGTTGGGTAAAGCTTATATATTTGTGTTTACTTTCTGGTGGTGCTGGGTATTGAAGTCAGAGTCTTGCATGGCTAACAACCTCCGCATGCGCGCTGCAAACGCGCCAGAAACATCCGGCTGAGACACCGGGAGGGGGGATATAAGGGAGCCCCATATCCGCAATAAATGAGTCTGCAGCTGCTCGCACTGCCTGCTTCTCACCTGACTCCTGGTGTCTGTGTCATGACTCCACACCGACTCTACCCCTGCCCGGAGGGCCCCAGGACACCCGCAACACAGATTGTCCAAATTAGAAACTCAAAACGTGAGGGGAATTGGAATTCCATGGGACAAATCAACACAGCAGCATGTGACAGTGCAGGAGCCTTCAGGGCCCAGCCATGGGACCTGCTCAATATTTTTCTTAATATTTTAATTATTATTTTAATGTGTATGAGTGTTTTTCCTGCATGTACATAAGTGCACCTGTGTCATACAACATCCACAGAGGTCAGAAGAAGGTGTCGGATCCCCTGAAACTGGAGTTACAGCCATGTAGGTGCTGGGAACCGAACCCAGATCCTCAGAGCATTCGGTGTTCTTAACCACTGAGCCATCTCTCCAGCCGTATTTTTTTAAGACATACTTTATTTTTCATTTGTGCGTGTGTGTGTGTGTGTGTGTGTGTGTGTGTGTGTGTAGGTGCCTGTGCAGGAACTGGAGTTATAAACAACTGGGAGCTGCATATGAGCCAACTAACGTGGGTACTGAGACCTGAACTCGGGTCCTTTGGAAGAATGGCAAGTACTCTCACCCACTGAGCCATCTTTCCAGCCCCATGGCCACGTATTTTAGGGGGAAAGGGACTGGCAGAAAATGAGGACCAGCAATACAATGGTTGCCACTTTCGTTTTAGAAAGGTAGATGGCCACCAATGTGGAAAATAGAGAGACTGGGGATGAGCCTAGAGACAGGACAGCTCATTTATTTATATTAGCTGTTATAAATTGTTGTCACAGTCAATTTAATCCTTTCCTAAACATTAAGCTTGAAAGCTGCCGCAAAGACAAATCAGGCTGGGACTGTGTGTTTCTTCAAGGCACAGGTGGCAAGACAGACTAGTGAGAACAAAACAGTTTGATGCAAAAGTAATAGGCAATAATAAGCTCATACACAATTTTTAAAGTCCTGGCACTGTAAGGAGAAAACAGTAATTACCCCTTAGGAGTTTAGGCAAGAACAGAAACAGAATGACAATGAATGAACCCAGAAAAATCAACAAGTCACTTACCAAAGGAACTGGGGTGGTTGGTTCAAATTCTGTGGAATTAGCATCTGAAGATGAAGAAGTTCAGTAATTAACCAATACTGCTGATCCAAGCTCTTGTTTTAAATAAGTGGTTCTCAGAAAACCTCAGACTTACCTTTCAACTTCAGGCAGTTTCTTGCAAACTCAATCACTGCCAGCTGCATCCCAAGGCAAATTCCTATTAGGAGAAGCACATGAGCATGCTTTATATCGAGTGATGTTCTCTGTCCAACTGCTTATTGCTGTCTCTTCCATTTAGAAAGCAGACCTCAAGAGAACAGGACTGCCTGTTTTGTTCCCAGCACTCCCCTCCCACCCAGAATCATCCCTGGCAGAGCAGCAACAGGTGTTAAACCAACAGGGAGCAACCAAAGGCCCAGAGATGAGCAAGGAGCAACTGGAGGGCAGACAAGAGAAGGACAAGTATCCAGAAGGCAAATCTGCCACCTACCATACCAGTCCCTAAATCAAGGTACCTGTGTGGGCTGCAGGCCTGCCTCACAATGTGTTGGATCCTTCAGAGCATGTCTAACAACACCCCAACTCAAGAGGAAGTCTCTTCAGGCTGAGACTTCACACTCCCCCTTCTCAAGATCTCACAAGTAAAATATGGCCTTGGCCAGAGGGTGACCCGAAGTTAGCCTCAGATCAGTCAGAGGGTTACCACCTCGGGAGTTCAGGCAGCTAATTTTAGGAAGAAAAGCAACAGCTGCAGGGGCTGGCACCTGACCTATGGGCAAGCGTGTGGCAGAAAGCAAGGAAGCAAACACAAAATGAAACTGAGCAGGTATTCAAGAACAGAAGACAGAGGCTGGAGTCACCCCAGGCTTGTTGCCTTAGGGACAGTCCTGAAGCCATGACTACATTCACTGTAGCCCACCAATTCCCCCCTTTAAACATAGCAAGGAGCACTGCAGATGCTGTCACAGACACATGGGTGTGACCCAGGGGATGTGAAGGAAGAAGCCATCAATGTAACAGTGTGCCAAGATGAAAGGGGATAAGCAAGAAGCAGCTGAGTGCTTGGGAGCTTCAAAAAGTCCCATATGGCTGTGGCATAAAGAAACATGGCATTAAGAGAAAGTGCAGAGTCAGTGCAGAGGTGCACATCTATAATCCCAGCACAAGGGAAGTGTAAACTATGGGCAGAAGGATCAGGTGTTCAAAGCCAGCCTCAGCTACACAGCAAAGTCAAAGCACACTTGAGGGAGGAGAGGGAATAAGCACAACATACAATATACACGGATCAAAGCTAAAAAAAGAATTCAGATTAAAGAAGCAGAAATGTCAAGACAATATCACTGTATGTTTTATATGCTAAAAGTCTAGATAATAACATATACTATATAAAACAGAGCATTTAAAGAGATAGAGTGCAGACAAGACTTACAAATGTTCTGTACAATGAAAATTATGTCAGGAACTTTGACCAAGTTTAGATGGAAATGAATTTAGGCAGAAACTTAAAAAATAAATAAAAGAGGAGCTAGGGATGTAGCTCAGTTGGTACTTACCTTGCATGCCCAAAGCCCCAGATTCCATACCCCAACTAGGCTCAAACTGGTGCCTATCTGTAATCTCAGCACAAGGGAGATGGAGGCCAGAGGATCAGGGAGATAAGAGGCAGGAGGATCAGAAGTTCAAGGTCATCCTCTGCTAGATAGCACGTTTGAGGCTAGCCTGGGCTAGCCCCTCCCTTTTTTTTTAAATTTTTGTGTGTGTGGTGGTATATGCACACGTGTGTGTATGGGTATGGATACCCAAGTGCAGAGGCCAAAGGAAGACATAAGATGTCCTGTTCTATCACTCATTATCTTATTCCTTTGAGACAAGGTCTCTCACAAAACCTGGAGCTAGCCAGTTCAGCTACGCTAGCAGGTCAGAAGGCTCCAGCAATCCTCCTGTCTCAGCCTCTCACAGTGCTGGGGTTATAGGCATATACAGCCAAACTGGGTGTTTTATGTGGATGCTGGGAATCGAACTCAGGATGCCTGCTACCCACTGAGCCATCTCCCCAGCCTGGATCCCCTGTCTTATAAAACAAAAATAACAATGGCCCATTAAAGCTTAGCTCAAAAGAGAACAAAGCATGTATTCTGATTTCTCTTTTGAAAGGGGATTCCAAGAATCTAAAGAAAATACAAGGATAGGAAGACAATGGGAAAAAACTATCATGCTCTGTTGAAAGTAAAAGGCAGCAAAGCCTGTCCCTTTAGTTCATAAACCCACCAGAACACACAAAACAGTGGGGAACTAGGTGTCCTGACCCCTCCTGTCCAAATCCCCACCTGCAGGCTTCCTTTAGCATATCCAGGTTCCCTGTCACCTGGCTTTACTGGTTGCAGAAACTAGGTTTTGCCATTTAAACAAGAGCATCCAAAGACCTGACTAGATCTATGGAAGGCACAATGATAAGTGCCTCTAGTCCCAGTGTTCAGGAGGTTGAGGAAGGAGGATGCCTCGAACAGAGAAGTTCAAGGTCAGCCTAGTCAACACAGTGAGACACTTTCTTTTTTTATTTTTCCTTTTGTTAGTTGTTTTTGTTTTGTCTTTATGTGTATGAGTGTTTTGCCTGCATGTGACGTGTACCATATATATGCAATACTCATGGAGGCCAGAAGAGGGTGTCAGATCCCCTGGAACTGGAGTTTCAGATAATTGTTAGCCACCATGTGGATGCTGGGAACCAAATTCAGGTCCTCTACAAGAATAGCAAGTACTTTTAACCACTGAACCATCTCCCCAATCTTTGTCTATCGTCTGTTTGTTTAAAACAAGGTCTCACTAAGTATCCCTGGCTGACCTGGGTCTGTCCGTCTGTCTGTTTGAAACAAGTTCTCACTATGTATCCCTGTCTGGCCTGGGGCTCATTATGCAGACCAGGCTGGCCCTGAACTCACAGAGATCTGACTGCCTCTGGGTTTAAAGGCAGGTATCACCAATCCCAGCTCAACCAAATTTTAATAGAGCTGCCCCATTGATATTGATTGGCTTTCTGTATTATCTTTTCTCTAAAACAAGTGTTTCAACTTAGGGTTAAAAATGTGGCTCACTGGTAGCATGCTTGCTTAACATGAACAAAGCCCTAGGGTGATTCCGAACTCCAGAGAGAGAGAGAGAGAGAGAGAGAGAGAGAGAGAGAAAATGTGCATGTTTCTGTTTAATTATTTATTTTCCAAATAGAAAGACTATTACAGAATTCTGTTGAATGGCTCTTTGCTGCAAATGTTAAGAGAGCAGCTAAGACGAATGCAAAGACTTCTTCCAGCTTCCTGCTACCCAGTAAAGTAACAAGCCTTTTCTGTAAACTGTCAGTGAAAATTCTAGGCTTTGCAAGCACTGGGTCTCTAGCTGTGTCATACTACCATAAAAACCATTGACAAAAAGTCTAGGTGGTTGTGTTACAATAAAACTTTATTTTAAAAGGGAAGCCATAAGCCATATTTAGTTTGATAAGACCTGTAGCAGATTATTTGGTACCTGACTTTCAAAACTGTGTTCATACCTTGACAACAACAAACCTTATGCTGAGCATGGTGGCATACCCTTTTAATCCCAGCAGAGGCCTGTGGATCTCTGTGAGACTGAGGCCATCCTGGTCTACATTATCTAGTTCTAAGTCAACTGAGGCTACAGGGAGACCCTGTCTCAAAACAAACAAAACAATCAAAGAACAAATTTTATTACATATTACCCCTACTGAGGTATGACATCTCCCATGTGTCAAAAGTCTTAATTAAGGGACTAGAGAGGTGGCTCAGCAGTTAAGAGCATTAGTTGTTCTTACAGAAGACCCAGGTTTGAATCCCAGCACCCACATGGCAGCTAACAACCGTCTGTAACTCCAATTCCAGAGGATCTGACAACATCCTCTTCTGTCCTCTTCGGGCATTGCACAACACAGGTGCACTTACATACAGGCAGGCATAACACTCATACACATAAAATAAAAATAAATCCAAAAAAAATGTTTTTAACAAATCTTAATTAAGAGGTGGTAATGTACCTCAGTGGAAGAGCAGCTGCTTCCAATGTGCAAAGCCCTAGGTTCAATCCCTACTGCACTAAGTAAATATATAAATAATAAATACATAAGTAAATCTTAATAAACTCACAACTAGGATCAATAAAAAAGAATCTTACCCAGAAATGGAATCTTCTTTGTCCTTGCCCAAGAAATTGCCTGGAGTTTTCCCAGTGATCCTCGGATTCCAAAGCCCCCAGGCACAAGAATACCACTGAAATTAACACAAGATGAAGATAAAGTTAAACATCCACTTTTTTTTTACATTTTTTTAAAAATGTTTTATTTATTTTGTGTGTCTGTCTGTCTGTCTGTATGTCTGTGCGTGCCTATGTGTATGTGCCACAGTGGACATGTGGCAGGCAGAGGACAACTTGAAGGACTTGGTTCTCTCCTTCTATCATGCGGGTCCCAGAGATTGAACTCAGGTGGTCAGGCTTGGCAGCAAGTGCCTTTACCCACTGAGCCTTCTCACTACTTCACAATATTTTTATTTTTATTTTTTATTTTTTGGTCTTTTTTTGAGACAGGGTCTCCCTGTAGCCCCAGCTGTCCTGGAACTCACTGTGTAGACCAGGTTGGCCTTGAACTCACAGAAACCTGCCTGCCTCTGCCTCCCAAGTGCTGGGATTAAAGGCATGCACCACCACGCCTGGCTATTTTTATTTTTAAAACATGTTTTCAGCCGTTCATGTTCAATGTTCCCAAACTCAATGCTTGGCGTAATCACTAGGGAATGTCTGAAGTCTGTTTTCAGAATTCATTATATAACTACATATCCTTGAAGCTCAATGTTATGAAGAACTTATGATAATTTCTGACTTTGGTAGATATTTTCTGATAGGTTTTGGTGGCTTCTGAGCATAGTAACTGGGAAATTCAATTCAGTTTAATTAAGAATGCACTGAAGGGGCTAGAGACACGCACAGCTCAGTGGCAAATAGCACTGGTTGCTCTTGCAGAGGACCAGGGTTCAGTTCCAGCACTCATGTGAAGTCTAACAAACATGTGTAATTCAAGTTCCAAGGGATTCCAAAAACCCTCTTCTGGCCTCAACAGGTACTACACACATGGGTGCACTTACATATATTCAGGCAAAACAGACACATAAAATAAAACAATTTTTTTTATTTAATTTAAAAAAAAAAGAATGCACTGAAAGCCAGACATGGTGGTACGGTGGTACAGGCCAATAATCCCAGGACTTGGAAGGCAGAGAGGCAGGAGGATTACTGCAGTTCCAAGCCAGCCTGGTCAACACAGTGAGTTTCATGCTAGCCATGGCTAAATACCAAGACCCTGTCCAAAAATAAAATAAAAAAAACAAGCAGTACACTGATAACTGGGTGTGGTAACGTACACTTGTAATCCCAGCATTCAAGAAGCTGAGGTAGGAGGATCCAGGTTTCCAGATCAGCTTGGACTGTATAGTAAGATCTACCTCAAAAGATAAATGGTGGTACACACCTTTAGTCCCATCACCTGGGAGGCAGAAGCAGGCAGATCTCTGTGAGTTCAATGTTATAGTCAACAACATAGTGAGTTCCAGGCCAGCCAGAGCTACACAGTGAGACTTTATATTTTGAAAATAAGGGCAAAAACAAATAAAAAATAATACTACTGAAGGCTAGTATAGCTTAATAGTAGACACGATATCAACAATTAATTAATTAATAAAAGTTAATCAGCAAATAACAAGGTGGGAATTGGATTTGACTCTGGGTTAGGCCCACAGGTACTTAGAAAGTTCCATATTTCCCAGCAGCTCCAGCAGTTGCTGCAAACTCAGAGGGCAGATCAATGTAATAATGAAATAATAAATAAGTCAATAGACATGTAGAAAAGAAAAACAGAGGAAGGCTGTCCTGTTTGTACTTTAACTTTGTGTAGTGGTCATCAGTATCTTTCAATAGAATCAACACTCTCCCTCTAATGCAGTCTCCCCTCCCTCTCTCGATAAAACCACTTCCACTTCCTAAGTCACCCACATTCATATGGCATGCTCGAGAGCAATGTGGCATGAATGCAGCACAACCACCTGCAAAGAACACAAGGACTCTAAACTACTTTTCCAAATGCACAAAAATTAGCAATTGGGGTGAGTGGAATAATTATATAGAAAGCACAATGGCATTGTCCTCGCTCGTGTAGACAGTCCCTGGTACTCACTCAGCTGTGCACAGCTTCTGCCAAGCTTCATGGAATTTCACAGGGTCCTCGGCTTTGGTGATCTGCTCTAGATCAACAGAGTCTATGTACTTAAAAAAAATCCAACAGTTAAACAAACATTTAAGAAAAAGAAGCACTAAAAATACTAGTGCTATCTAACACAGTTATTCAATAACTGAGGGTTAGTATAGCTTAGTAGTAGAGCCCTTGCCTACAGGGGAGGGGACAAGGAGAGAGAAGCATGAAATGAATAAAGAAAAAAAATGAAGTAATTAGCATAGAGGCTGAGGGTGAAGTTTAGTGGCAGAGCCTATGTAAGGCCCTGAATTCAACTCCTGGTGCCCCCAAAAAAGGCTAAGAAGAGAAAATACAAATTACAGGAGTAAGAGACAAAATCCTAGAAGAGCATGTAAGAACTTACCATCACATTCAGCTTGTGGTTGATGGCCAAGGCCGAGTGTTCCAGGGCTTTGAAGACAGATGCGTAGCAGTCTCTGAGCTTGGTATACTTACCAACCAGGGCTATGGAGCATATTTTCTGTAATTTTTCATACCTGAGAGGGAACACAGAACATCACAAACAACAATGGAGCCACCACTCTTATTCCAGGGCTCTTTTGAAAACCTTAGGAAAAGACAAGGCACTCACTGTACTTGACACAAATCTCTCTTCCAAACTGTCAAAATCTGGTCATCAAACAGATTTCAAAAACATAAGAAGAGCTGAAGAGATGGTCCAGTGGGTACAACACGACACACAAGCATGAGGACCTGAGTTCAAATCTCCAGAACCTACAGAAAAAGCTGGGCCCAGTAGCCCATATCTGTAATCCCAGCACTCCTAGAAAGAATTGGGAGGCACATAGGAGACTCCCCAGAAGTTGTCTTCTGACATCCACAGGCATACTGTGGCAGAAACACATACACACACAAAGATTAAGAAATAAAATTGCCAGACACAGTGGTGCACACTTTTAGTCCCAGAACTCTAAAAGCAGAGACAGAGGCAGAGGCAGGTAGATCTCTTTGAGTTCGAGGCCAGCCTGGTCTACATAGTGAGTTC